TAAATTAAAATATAATGTTAATTTGTGGGATTAACATTAACTAAAAAAAACACTGGACGAACTGACACCAAACTTGGACACAATACACCTATCAGGCCAACAAGTGACCATCACTCATAAAAACGCTGAAAAACACAATGGAAAGGACTTTAAAAGCCAAAAATCAAAAAAATACATTACAACGCATATGCAAAACCACAAAAATATACACAAACACACATATATACACATATACACAAATGTATGCACACACATATACACACACAAAACACATATACACAGACTGGGCCACAGCAATGCGTGGCAGGGAATGGCTAGTACTATATAATAATAGTATATAATAATAATAATAATAATAATAATAATAATAATAATCATCATCATCTTATACACCTAACCTGAATGTAATTTAATACAACAACAACAATAACAATATACATCTTATACACCTAACCTGAAGGTAATTTAATACAACAACAACCACAACAACAAACGCCATAGACATCTAGCCTGGAGGCAATCTTACACAATATTCTTAATAATTTTGTGCAAGACAGGCAAAAAGTGGGATATTAGTATTGCTTTTGTTGTTGTACAACAACAACAACAACATACACCATAGACATCTAGCCTGGAGGTAATCTTATACAATATTCTTAATAACTGCGCCACCGCCCCCAATGACACGACAAAAAAAAATTGTGCAAGACACACAAAATGTGCGATATTATTATTGCTTTTGTTGTTGTACAACAGCAACAACATACACCATAGACCTCTAGCCTGGAGGTAATCTTATACCTTATACCTAATAATTTTGTGCAAGTCACACAAAAAGTGGGATATTATTATTGCTTTTGTTGTTGTACAACAACAACAACAAGAACATACACCATAGTATACAATATTCTTAATAATTTTGTGCAAGATACACAAAAGTGGGATATTATTATTGCTTCAGTTGTTGTACTACAACAACAACAACATACACCATAGAACCTAGCTTGAAGCTAATGTCATACAACATTCTTAATAATTTTGTGCAAGATACACAAAAGTGGGACATTATTATTGCTTTTGTTGTTGTACAACAACAGTAACAACAACATACACCATATACACCTAGCCTGGAAGTAATCTTATCCAATATTCTTAATAACTTTGTGCAAGACACACAAAAAGTAGGACATTATTATTGCTTTTGTTGTTGTACAACAATAATAACAACAACATACAACATAAACATCTAGCCTGGAGGCAATCTTATACAATATTCTTAATAATTTTGTGCAAGACACACAAGAAGTGGGATATTGTTATTGCTTTTGTTGTTGTACAACAACAACAGCAACGACAACAATAACAGCAACAATATACACAATAGACATCTAGCCTGGAGGTAATTTTATACAATATTCTCAATAATTTTGTGCAAGACGCACAAAAAGTGGGATATTATTGTTGCTTCAGTTGTACAATAACAACAACAGTAACAATATACACCATAGACACCTAGCCTGGAGGTAATCTTATACAATATTCCTAATAATTTTGTGAAAGACACACTCAAAGTGGGATATTATTATTACTTTTGTTGTTGTACAACAAGAAGAACTACAACATACATCATAGTATACAATATTCTTAATAATTAGGTGCAAGATACACAAAATGTGGGATATTATCATTGCTTCAGTTGTTGTACAACAACAACAACAACAGCAACAATACACACCATATACACCTAGCCTGGAGGTAATTTTAAACAATATTCTCAATAATTTTGTGCAAGACACACAAAATGGGATATTATTATTGCTTTTGTTGTTGTATAACAACAACAACAACAACATATACCATAGTATACAATATTCTTAATATTTTTGTGCAAGATACATAAAAAGTGGGATATTGTTATTGCTTCAGTTGTTGTACAACTACAACAACAACAGCAACAACATACACCATAGACACCTAGCCTGAAGCTAATTTCATACAATATTCTTGATAATTTTATGCAAGACACACAAAAAGTGGGATATTATTAATTTTTTGCATAAGAGAGGGAAAACAGGATGTCAACAACAACAACAACAACAACAACAACAACAGTCCCTTTACACCTAAGCTGGAGATAATATACAATATTTCAAATATATTTCTGCATGTAACTAAGTATCCCATTAGAAAGCAAAGGTGTCACTGTCTCAGCTTAACTTTGGGACAATTCTAGAGTATTTTCTTAATTCCAAAGAAGGGATCCTCTAACTTTACAGACAAAAGAATGACAAAATCATAATAAAGGAAGAGAATAATAATAACAACAATAATAATAATAGTTTCACCTTTCCTGGGCAAGTTGCTCTGCTTCCAAGTCCGGCTTTTCCTCTGCTGGCGACGCACACCTCCTTCTCTCTTTCTCTCTCTCTCTCTCTTCCTCCCTCCCTCCTTCTTTTCTCTCCTCCTCCCTCCTCTGTTTCTTCACTCCTTTGCTCCTTTTCCCCGAAATCACGTGCTTGGCTCTTGCTGGACTCTGCCGGGATTGGCCTGCAGGTGGCAGCAGAGAGCAAGGAAATCCAGGCGGCGGCGAGAAGGGGACAGTCTTCTTGTATTTATTTATTTATTTATTTATTTATTTATTTATTTATTTATTTATTTATTTATTTATTTATTTGCTGCACTTGTAGACCGCCGTTCTCAGCCCTGGGGCGACTCACGGCGGTGTACAACATGTAAAATCAGGTACAATTTACAACATAAGCAATATCAAAAACAACATTAAACAGCATCACTATCAATAATACAATTACACTAAGTCATTCGCGACGTCTCATCGTTGAATCACAATCCAAATCTCGTTATCCATGTTCCGTTCCAATCGTCATTGCCAATTGTTGCAGCACTTACTCAAACGCCTTCTCAAACAACCACGTCTTTAGTCTCTTGCGGAATGTCATAAGGGAGGGCGCCAGTCTGATGTCCACAGGAAGGGTGTTCCACAGCCGGGGGGCCACCACCGAGAAGGCCCTGTCCCTCGTCCCCGCCAGGCGTGCCTGTGAGGCAGGCGGGATCGAGAGAAGGGCCTCCCCGGACGATCTCAAAGTCCTCGTGGGCTCATAGGCCGAGATGCGGTCAGACAGGTATTTTGGGCCGGAACCGTTTAGGGCTTTGTAGGCCAACACCAGCACCTTGAATTGGGCCCGGTAGAAGATCGGCAGCCAGTGGAGCTGGACAACAAGGGCGTTGTGTGCTCCCTGCGTCCCGCTCCTGTTAGTAACATGGCTGCCGCGCGCTGGACTAGCTGGAGCTTCCGGGCCATCTTCAAGGGCAGCCCCACGTAGAGAGCGTTGCAGTAGTCAAGGCGGGATGTGACCAGAGCGTGTACTACCGTGGCCAAGTCAGACTTCCCGAGGTACGGGCGCAGCTGGTGCACGAGCCTGAGCTGTGCAAATGCTCCCCTGGTCACCGCTGAGACCTGGGGGTCCAGGCTCAGCGATGAATCCAGGATCACATCCAAGCTGCGAACCTGCGCCTTCAAGGGGAGTGCGACCCCATCCAGCACAGGCTGTAACCCTATACCCTGTTCGGCCTTGCGACTGACCAGGAGTACCTCTGTCTTGTCTGGATTCAATTTCAATTTGTTCGCCCTCATCCAGACCGTTACAGCGGCCAGGCACCGGTTCAGGACCTCAACAGCCTCCTTAGTAGCAGGTGGAAAGGAGTGACAGAGTTGGACATCATCTGCGTACAGATGACACCGCACCCCGAAACTCCGGATGATCTCACCCAGCGGCTTCATGTAGATATTAAACAGCATGGGGGACAGTATAGAGCCCTGTGGAACCCCACAAGTCAAAGGCTGTGGCGTTGAACAGGTGTCCCCCAATAACACCTTCTGGGTGCGGCCCTCCAGAAATGACCGGAGCCACTGTAGAACAGTGCCCCCGAGGCCCATTTCCGCAAGACGCCCCAGAAGGATACCGTGGTCGACGGTATCGAAGGCCGCTGAGAGGTCCAGGAGCACCAACAGGGACACACTCCCCCTGTCTAGCTCCCGGCGCAGATCATCCACTAAGGCGACCAAGACCGTCTCAGTTCCATGTCCCGGTCTGAAACCAGACTGTGCCGAATCCAGATAATCCGTGTCTCTCAAGAATACCTGGAGTTGTGAGGCCACCACGCTTTCCATGACTTTGCCCAAAAAGGGGAGATTGGAAACTGGCCGAAAGTTGTCAAATCTAGTGGGGTCCAGTGATGGTTTCTTCAACAGCGGTTTTATTATAGCTTGTTTTAAGCTCGCTGGAATCTCGCCTTCCCGAAGGGAGGCGTTAACCACCACCGTTACCCGTTATTGGGAGAAGCCACTGTATTATTGGGAGAAGCCACTGTAGAATCAATGCAGCTTGACACCCCTTTAACTTGCTATGGATCCCTGCTATGGAGTCCTGGGAGTTGTAGTTTGGCAAGGGCTTCTGCTTTCCCTGCCAAATGGGCATCTACACAATGGAATCAATGCAGCTTGACTGCTATGGATCCCTGCTATGGAGTCCTGGGAGTTGTAGTTTGACAAGGGATTCTGCCTTCTCTGCCAAAGGGTGCATCTTGGAATCAATGCAGCTTGACAACCCTTTGACTTACTATGGATGCCTGCTATGGAATCCTGGGAGTTGTAGTTTGGCAAGGGCTTCTGCTTTCTCTGCCAAAGGTTGCATCTACACCTTGGAATAAATGCAGTTTGACACCCTTTTGACTTGCTATTGATCCCGGCTATGAAGTTCTGGGAGTTGTAGTTTGGCAAGGGCTTGGAATGCTCTCAAGAAAATCTAAGGAGAAGAAAGCTTGCATCTTGGAAGCAGTGCATTTGGATTATCCTTCTCTCCTAAAGGGCCTGGCCTAGGGGATGCTGGGAACTGTAGTGTGGATATGCTATTGTGTGTTTTGTTTGTTGGAGGGAGTTGTTTTTACAGGTGTGCTGTAGTGCCTTTTTCCTTTTTTTCGGCTTTTTAAAACTCTTCTGTTGTGTTTTTCAGTGTTTTTATGAGTGATTGGTCACTCTTTGGCCTGATATGTGCATTGTGTCCAAATTTGGTGTCAATTGCTCCAGTGGTTTTTGAGTTATGTTAATCCCACAAACGAACATTACATTTTTATTTATATAGATTTACAGTGTTTATATTCTGTCCTTCTCACCCCGCAGAGGACTCAGGGCAGATTGCAATGCACATATGTGGTGGAGGAGTGTGGTGGAGGCTCCTTCTTTGGAAGCTTTTAAACAGAGGCGGGATGGCCATCTGTCAGGGGTGCTTTGAATGCAATATTCCTGCTTCTTTGCAGGGGGTTGGACTGGATGGCCCATGAGGTCTCTTCCAACTCTTTGATTCTATGATTCTATATACATGGCAAACATTTAATGCATACAACATATATTTATGACATACAACATATGTCCTTCTTCCATCATTGGAGGTCGCAATGATCAGCCCAACGTGACTTACTCCTAGAGAAGTGCACTAGGAAAGGACCAGGCGCAGGTGGCCTTTTTCTATTTCTGCTCCTGCCTTGTGGAATTCCTTGCCGCGTGACTTAGGGCCTTTTACTCTCGCACTTAAGACCTGGCTTTTTACTAGAGCATTCGATCCCTGTTAATTTTTAATTTTTGTATGTATGTATTTTATCTTTTATAATTTAGCTGTAAATCGCCTAGAGCATTCTCGGATGGAGGGCGATTAATAAGTTATTAAATGATGATTACGATGATATATAGACAGACACAGAGGCAATTTAACATTCCAGCTTTCCAGCTTAATGAGGGTATGCTCGATTCTGGCCACAAGGGGAGCTGCCACTTCACCGTCCACTTGTGACACCAAGTCCTTGATGGAGTACCTCCTCATTCTTGCGCATACTGCTGGAAGGTGTCGTAAATTAGTTAAATTAGGCTCCCCAGCGGTAACTAAATTTCCTACTCGACTGATGCAACTGTCTTTTGGGCTGCATAGGTCACAAGCAAGCTAGACTACTAATAGTCGGGCGCTTACTCCAACCCAGGCTGGCTTTGAACTCATAACCTCAGTCAATAGTGATTTAATGCAGCTGGCTACTAACTAACTGCACCACAGCCCATCACAATAAACATTCCTGTATCTTAGTTGTTTGCACAGACCTTTCTAAAGAGGTTTTACTAACCTCCACCACCACTTTTTTGTGGCTTCAACATAACCGAGAAGAAACGGAAACATGATTCAAAATGCAAAGGCCTCAGATACCGATACCTGCTAGACTGAGTTTCCTCTCTAACCACAGACTAATTTGTTGCTAAAGGATGTGTTTTCAGGCTGACCAAAGATTTGTTTCCAACTGTCCCAATTACAGCAATCCCTTTTCCAACATTGCCCCCATTTTCCTCACTTCCTCCTGCTTCTCTTTCCTACTTTGCACCTTGCAAATTGCATTAAAATTATCCAAATTAGTTGACAATTCAGTGTAGGGAAATGAACAGGATCTTGTGTTGTTGAAGGCTTTCATGGCCGGAATCACTGGGTTGCTGTGCATTTTTCGGTTTCTGTTAGAAATGTAATACAATTGTCTGGCTGCCTGACACGATAAAAAAATATAAATAAATAGAAGCATTCTCTCCTGACATTTCACCCACATCTATGGCAGGCATCCTTGGAGGTCGAGAGAAAATTAAGTAAGTGAGGTTTATATATCTATGGAATAATGTCCAGTGTGGGAGAAAGAACTCTTGTCTGTTTGAGGCATGTGTGAATGTTCCCAGCGAACACCTCCCAACAAAGGATTCCCCCAGGCAGCAACGAGCCAGGCCTTGAAACTGCAAGGCCATTAAATGCTAATCAAGGTGGCAAATTCCAACATTCATACATGTCTCAAGCAGATAAGAGTTCTTTCTCCCACCTTGGACATTACACAGATATATATACCTACATACTATGTTGCCAGCGAACACCTCCCAACAAAGGATTCCCTCAGGCAGCAACGAGCCAGGCCTTGAAACTGCAAGGTCATTAAATGCTAATCAAGATGTCAAATTGCAACATTCACACATGTCTCAACAAGACAAGAGTTCTTTCTCCCACCCTGACATTACACAGATATATAAACCTCACTTACTATGTTGCAGCGAACACCTCCCAACAAAGGATTCCCCTAGGCAGCAACAAGCCAGGCCCTGAAACTGCAAGGCCATTAAATGCTAATCAAGGTGGCAAATTGCAACATTCACACGTGACTCAAGCAAACAAGAGTTCTTTCTCCCACCATGGACATTACACAGATATATAAACCTCACTTACTATGTTGCCAGCGAACACCTCCCAACAAAGGATTCTCCCAGGCAGAAACCAGCCAAGCCTTGATACTGCAAGGCCATTAAATGCTAATCAAGGTGGCAAATTCCAACATTCACACATGTCTCAATCAGATAAGAGTTCTTTCTCCAACCCTGGACATTACACAGATATATATACCTCACTTACTATGTTGCCAGCAAACACCTCCCAACAAAGGATTCCCCCAGGCAGCAACCAGCCAAGCCTTGATACTGCAAGGCCATTAAATGCTAATCAAGGTGGCAAATTCCAACATTCATAGATGTCTCAAGCAGATAAGAGTTCTTTCTCCCACCCTGGACATTACACAGATATATAAACCTCACTTACTATGTTGCCAGCGAACACCTCCCAACAAAGGATTCCCCTAGGCAGCAACAAGCCAGGCCCTGAAACTGCAAGGCCATTAAATGCTAATCAAGGTGGCAAATTGCAACATTCACACGTGCCTCAAGCAAACAAGAGTTCTTTCTCCCACCATGGACATTACACAGATATATAAACCTCACTTACTATGTTGCCAGCGAACACCTCCCAACAAAGGATTCCCCCAGGCAGAAACCAGCCAAGCCTTGATACTGCAAGGCCATTAAATGCTAATCAAGGTGGCAAATTCCAACATTCATACATGTCTCAAGCAGATAAGAGTTCTTTCTCCCACCCTGGACATTACGCAAATACATAAACTTCACTTACTGTGTTGCCAGTGAACACCTCCCAAGAAAGGATTCTCCCAGGCAGCAACCGGCCAGGCCTTGAAACTGCAAGGCCATTAAATGCTAATCAAGGTGGCAAATTCCAACATTCACACATGTCTCAATCAGATAAGAGTTCTTTCTCCCACCATGGACATTACACAGATATATATACCTCACTTACTATGTTGCCAGAGAACACCTCCTAACAAAGGATTCCCCCAGGCAGAAACCAGCCTCAAGCAGACAAGAGTTCTTTCTCCCACCCTGGACATTACACAGATATATATACCTCACTTACTTCACCACACTAGAGAAAAAAACCCCACTTAAAATCCAATTTCTGTCTCCTGCAGAATTCTGGAGTTTGTAGTTTAGTGGGGCTGTTAAAGGCTCCTCCCTAAATTATAAACCCCAGAATTATGAAGGAGACAGAAACCGGATTTTAAGTGTCTGATAACACTGTTTTTTTCCAACCTCACAACCTCTGAGGATGCCTGCCATAGATGTGGCAAAACGTCAGGAGAGAATGCTTCTGAAACAAACATGGCCAGACAGCCCGGAAAACTCACAGCAACCCAGAATAGAATCTTGTTCTAATTTGGTCAGGATAATCGGGATAAATCCTCTGTCGTCCCACTGTTTTGAGATGCTTTTGAAATGTCCCAGTTTCTTTTCCTTCCTCCTACTTTCCCCCCTTTGTACTCCAGTTGTGGCAAAATTTGCTCAAAAACACACAGTCTTCATATCTTGATTTATTAATATTTCTGAAATAGTGCAATTCTGGTTGCCAAGAGGAAGGATACAGAGAAATATAAACAAAGATATCCCTGGAAATGCAAACTTTCAAGGCACGTAAGAATTTTCCAAATAGAAAAATAAAGTTTCAAGTTACTCTGGCTATTCAAAGATAGAGGGGTACGGAAGACCGAGATTAGAAGTAGTGCAGGCATGGGCAAACTTGGGCCCTCCAGGGTGTTTTGGACTCCAACTCCCACCATTCCTAACAGCCTCAGGCCCTTTCCTTTTCCCCCTCAGCCGCTTAAGCGGCTGAGGGGGAAAAGGAAGGGGCCTGAGGCTGTTAGGAATGGTGGGAGTTGGAGTCCAAAACACCCCGAGGACTCAAGTTTGCCTATGTCTGAACTAGTGGAACTGAATGATTATTATTGTTATTATTATTATCATTATCATCATCCCTATTGTGAAAGTGATAGTCCCTTTCACAGGAAGCTTTGTATACCACAACACCCAAGCTAACTGGGGATCATGGGATTTATAATACCATAAGTATTATATATAGGTATATGTGTGTGTGTGTGTGTATAGCACAAGTTTGTAACTGTATAGCTTTGAAGGTGGTGAGCCACTTTGGGTTTCTTTTGGGGAGGAAAAGCAGCGTCCAAATAACAACAACAACAACAATAAACTCTGACACAAGCCAGTAAAGGTGGAACCAGTGGTGTTTGGCACACTGGGTGCAGTCTCTAAGACCTTGACCTGCACTTAAAAACAATCAGCACCGACAAAATGACCATTTGTCAGCTGCAAAAGGCCACTCTACTGGGATCTGCACACACTATTCGCCGATACACTTTGGGAAGTGTCCAATGTGTGATCAAATACACAAGCCAGCATAGTGATCTTGTTTGCTGTGTACTAATCTTGTTATGTATCAAATAGTAGTAGTAATAATAATAATAAATGTAAAGGCTCGGGCATAAACCAGTCCAGGTGGTCCCAGTGGTCATGGGCACACTGGGTGCCGTGCCAAAAGATCTCAGCCGGCATTTGGAAACAATAAACATTGACGAAATCCCGATCTGTCAACTGCAAAAGGCCACCTGACTTGGATCTGTGCGCATCATTCGAAAATACATCATACTCCTAGACGCTTGGGAAGTGTTTGACTTGTGATTTTGTGATACGAAATCCAGCATACAGATCTCGTTTGCTGTGACATACTGTGCTTTTGTGTTAGTAAAATGATAATGATAATAATAATAATAATAATAAACAATGATAATTATTTCTAAATTCTTAAAGGGATCACGATGGCAAATTCCACACTTTGATTCTTCTTTGACACAGTGATTCTTCTCTGACTATTTCAAGTTTAATGAATGAGAGGGAAATAACTTTTTATTAGGGTGTTGTAGGTTTTTCCGGGCTATATGGCCATGTTCTGGAGGCAATTTTTCTCCTGACGTTTTGCCTGCATCTATGGCAAGCATCCTCAGAGGTAGTGAGGTCTGTTGGAAGTAGAAAAAATGGGTTTATATATCTGTGGAATGACCAGGGTGAGACAAAGGACTTTTGTCTGCTGGGGCTACCTGTGAATGTTTCAGCTGATCACCTTGATTAGCATTCAATGGCTTGGAAGTGCCTGGGGAGAATCTTTTGTTGAGAGTGATTTTATGTGCCTGTTTGTTTCCCCTCTGTTGTTTTGCTGTTGTAATTTTGCCTCCAGAACATGGCCATATAGCCCGGAAAAAACCTACAACAACCCAGTGATTCCGGCCATGAAAGCCTTCAACAATACATTTAACTTTTTATTAATTATCCCACTTTCTCCAGAAGCTGTGGATATCAGGAACAAGTTAGATCCTCTCCAACAAGGACGGAAGGAAGGAAGGAAGGAAGGAAGGAGAAAGTGAGACAAGAGGGAGCCACCAAGGGTCTGGCACTTCCCCTTTCAATCACCAAATAGTTTATTCAGAGCAGGTTAAAGATTATGGCATAGGGAAGACATAACCCGGAAGACCCAACGTTTAGGCTCGGAAGCTCTCAAGGTTGCGTTTTGGATAGAAGTGTCCAATTCTGAAATGTTCAGAATTGCTAAATCGGTTAATTCCGCTCTTCTTGGATGGATCTCCGCTCCAAGGCTTGGCTTTGCTTCTCTCTGCGGCTGACGTTACTTCCTTCGGCGAGGGATTTTGGGACCCAGCGGGACCCCATCCCTTAGCGTCTATATGGATTTGGGGGAATACGACAGAAAGAAGAGGAAAGGTTAGTCATGGAGAAGGAACGGCCCGCTCTCTTTCCTACCTTTGATGGCAAGATGCCCTTTTCCTCCACCCCTCTGATGGAATTCACCTTGACCAGGCGCCCCCGATAGGCCTCCTCGTCCTCACCCGGGTCCCGCAGCAGCACCTGAGCAGCAGGTAAGTGGCGGCGGCACACGTTCTCCGCTTCTTGGACCGTGTACAAGGCGGCCGGATCCAGGGAATGGCTGTTGATGAGGCTGACCAGGTACTCCTTGTAGTGTGCCCTGGGAGGAGGGAGGGGACACACATCAATCGCTGTGCCACATTTTGCGCAATTGGAGTCCCCGGTGGCACAGTGGATTAAACCCTTGTGCCAGCAGGACTGAAAACCGACAGGTCACGAGTTCAAATCCAGGAAGAATAGAGCTCCCTCTATCAGCTCCAGCTCCTCATGCGGGGACATGAGGGAAACCTCCCAAAAGGTTGGTAAAAACATCAAAATATCCAGGTGCCCCTTAGGCAACGTCCTTGCAGATGGCCAATTCTCTCACACCAGAAGCAACTTGCAGTTTCTCAAGTAGCTCCTGACACAATAACAACAACAAAAAATTGTGCAATGTTATAAAACCAACCTGGAAACAGCATATTATGATCAAGGGTCTGGAGAACAAGCCCTATGAGGAGCGGCTTAAAGAGCTGGGCATGTTTAGCCTGCAGAAGAGAAGGCTGAGAGGAGACGTGATGAGGGTCATGTATAAATATGTGAAGGGAAATCATAGGGAGCAAACTTGTTTTCTTCTGCACCAGAGACTAGGATGCAATGGAGCAATGGGTTCAAACTATAGGAAAGGAGATTCCACCTGAACATAAGGAAGGACTTTCTAACTGTGAGAGCTGTTCAGCAGTGGAACTCTCTGCCTTGGAGTGTGGTGGCGGCTCCTTCTTCGGAGGTTCTGAAACAGAGGCTGGATGGTCATCCGCCAGGAGTGCTTTGAATGCAATTTTCCTGGTTCTTGGAAGAATGGGGTAGGACTGGATAGCACACTATAGTCTCTTCCAACTATAGGATTCTACGATTCCAAATTGGATGTTCTGCCCCACAACTCTGTGTTTTATGAGTTCCATTTAAACTTCCTGCTCCTATTTTATCTCATCATAGTCTGTTAATTGTTTTTTTTTATTCGGAATATGTGGCCCGCCCATTGTCATCTCTATTGTGATTGTGTCTATTGGAATTTTATTATATTGTTACTATTATTATTTTATTATTATTTTAAATGTCATTTTGATAATGTTGTTGTTGTCTGATGTATATGCTTTGATTTTACTGCTGTATTATGTTGTCCGGGCTTGGCCCCATGTAAGCCCCCATTGGGGAGATGGTGGTGGGGTAGAAATAAAGATTATTATTAATTATTATTATTATTATTATTATTATTATTATTATTATTATTATTCCTCCTCCTCCGTTGCTCCAAGTTCCCCAGATCTTTAAACCAGGGGCGAGCAGCTGAGTGTGGTCTACATTTATCCCCTTAAGATCTATGACCCCAAAACCGCATGACTAAATAGTATCTCCAAAATGCCCTCATGAAATTCACCAGTCAGTCTCCCCCTCAATCTGACCCACCTCGCAGGGTTGTTTTGTGGATGATTTGGAGGAGCAGATATGGCACATATGCCAGTTTGAGCTCTTTGGAAGAAAAGCAAGATACAGAATGATGGGATCATAAGACTCGGGACCCCTGCTGTGAAAGATATACAGCTTATTGGAAGTAAACAAGATTGTGAACTTACTGACAAAGGCCGGCATATCCAGTGGGCGTCTCTCTGCCGCAAGGCTCATCTACAAGCCCTTCCATGGTTTCTTTCTGCTCCATCACACGGCATCCATCTGAATGGAGGAGAGGGACAAGCGTCATTTGATATTATTTGTATGCTGTTTAATATAATAATAAAGCATCTGAACCACATTAAAGAACACACATAACATACTACAATGCACTACACATCCACTTATGAATCTACGGTAGTGTCACATCTCAGGATAGATTCACCTTGCTCAAGATACCACCACACACCAAGGCGGTAGGTTTTGTAGTTTACTGAAGAAAAAGCAAAATCAAAAACATAGAAGTAAAGTTGCAAAAGTTCAATAGCCAAAACAGAGTCTTAAATGCATAGGCAAAGTTCCCAAGATCCAAAGGCAAATAACATGAAGTATAATCCTTTAGCATTGGGTAATCAAGAATCCATGGCAGCATGACATAGTCCCCAAAAAATCAAGAGCAAAACCGAAGTCCCAAAGAGCTGGAAGCTTTCCCCAAAAGCCGAGGTAATTTCAGAGAAGTTAACAGGATATAAGCAACATTGCACTGACAACGGACAGACTTCAATCAGATCATTAAATATGTTTCCCCAACATGTGTGGTGAACTGATTTTATTCTATAGCAGGCATGGGCAAACTTTGGCCCTCCTCCAGGTGTTTTGGACTTCAACTCCCACAATTCCTAACAGCCTACCGGCTGTTAGGAATTGTGAGAGTTGAAGTCCAAAACACCTGGAGGAGGGCCAAAATTTGCCCATGCCTGTTCTGTAGTGTAGAGGGACATGAGTTCTTGGCTCTAATTCTTGGCTCTCCAAGATTTCCCAGAATCCTTTGGCTCTCACCTGCAGGAGTGGCACGGGTCCCAGCTGGAGGGTCCGTGTTGAACCCAATGTTGTTATCCTGGAAACGGACAAAAGTTGTGAACAAAGTGCAGACCGTCAGCCCAGAGGAAATCCCTCCCTCCAAAATAAAGACTTAGCAAGTGGGCATCTTTGGCCATTGCTTTTCAGTTGTGGCTTTCCTGCACCCTTCCCACCACACCTCGGCACACAAACCAACCTGTAAGAGCCCCTGAAGGCGAGGCACATCCCAGTCGCGCAGGTAGAAGAGGCAGTCGCGGGGATGGTGGCCATGGAGAGACCGACGAATGGGGCAGTCGGGTATCGGGCATTTCTGGGGGGTAGAAATGGAGACAGCGGTGATGAGAGGCTAGAAAACTGTTTGTAGAGTTGGAGGAGACCCCAAGGGCCACCCAGTACATCCCCATCCTACCATTATTATATTCCCCCCAGTTAGAAGTTCACTTTGTTAGCCTTGGCTCAGCTCTCTAATGTGTTTAAACTCATGTTTGTTTGTTTATTTACAACATTTATATACCGCCCTTCTCACCTCGGGACTCAGAGCTGCTTACAAGATATATATACATACAATATATTATATTATTAGCATAGTACAATATCAGTATTAAATATTACAATATTGTACTATACCATTATATTGCGATATTATTAGTAATATTACATGTAATCTTCTATATAAGTAAAAATGTAAAGTTCGTTTGTGATATTCACAGAACTCAAATACTACTGGGGGAATTGACACCAAATTTGGACACAAGACACCTAAAAACCCAATGTATGTCCTTCACTCATAAAAACACTGAAAAACACAGCAGAAGGGACTTTAAAAGCCCCAAAAAACTAAATGACAATACAGTAAAAAGGGAAGAAAGAGGGAGGAAAGGAGAGAAAAAAGAAAGAAGGAGGGAGGGAAAGAAAGAAGGAAAGGTAGAAGGTAGGAAGGGAAGGCAGGAAGAAAGGAGGTAGATAAGGAAGAAAGGAGAGAAAGAAGGAGGGAAAGAAAAAGGGGGAAGGAAGGAAGGAGAAAAGGAAAGAAAAAAGGGAAAGAAGGAAGGAAAGAGGGAGCGAAGGAAGGGGGTAAGATGTAGAGAAAGAGAGAGGGAAGGAAAGATAGAAGGAAGAAAAAAGAGACAGCAGAGGAGAAAGAAAAAGGGGGAAGGAAGGAAGGAAAGAGATAGAGAAGGAAGGAAGAAGAGAAGAAGAAGAGAAGGAAAGATGGGAAGGAAGGAAAGAGGGAGTGAAGGAAGGAGGAAAAGAAGGAGAGAAAGAGGGAAGGTTGGTCA